CAATTAAAACCAACAAGAGCATTTTCCTCGGTGCTAGCGCGGTCGCAGACGCCGCGGCGCGCGGTTATCACTGCGGGCGCGGGGGGGCGGGGAGGGGACATCGCGGGGGGCAGGAGCCGCGGGGGGCGTGGGAGAGCGGGAGGGGGAGGGCACGGAGGAGACGGAGGCGAGGGCAGGGAGGGAGAGGGAGGCGGAGGCGGAGGCTGCTGTGGCGTCGTCCTCCCCGCGTCCCCGCGCCTGCCGCACCCTGCGCACGCAGACGCCACCCTCGCGTGGGGCAGGACACCCGGCTGCAGCCAGGCGACCCTGCCGGGAGCGCGAGGAGGCGACGCGCACCAGGACCTGGGGCTCCCCCTGCGTCCAGAGGGTGCCGCGCTCAGGCTCCGGGTCACCGCAGGCCTGGCCTGGCCTGGCTGCAGGAGCCGCGCTGCCGGGACCTGGGGCCGCCTCGGGGGAGGACTAGGGGCCCCGCAGGTCACCTGCCCGCCAGCGTGGAGGAGGCGTCGGGCCCCAAACTAAGCACTGGAGCGGGTGGCGACTTTTCACCCTTAGTTCTGCACCCTGCTGCGGCCAGTGTGTGTGTGTGTGTGTGTGTGTGTGTGTGTGTGTGATCTCCCCTCTCCCATGGCTGTGCTTCCACCTCCAAACCACGCCCCCTCTGTGGGGCCCAGGCTTCTGCTCCCCTTAGCTCAGGGTCCTCAGGCCCAGCTGGCCTGGCCCTGCGGGGTTCATGCAATTTGGAGAGAGGATGGGGGCGGCGGTGGTGCCCCTCCTCTGCCCAGCATGCAGGTGTCTTGGAGAGCTCACGGTGTCAGAGCTCCTGAGCAGGACAGCGCATCCACCTGCCTCTCTTTCTCTCTTGAAAATATGAAAAATCTTTTCATAAAGCACATTTTTAAGCCAGCAGGCACCCCTGTCATCCTACTGCTCTGAAAGGCTGAGGCAGGAGGATCAAAAGTTTGCACACAGCTTGTACAAGTTAGGGACTTCGCAGAACCCTGGAGAGAGGGGCGGGAGAGGGAGGGCCGGAACATCTTTACGTACCAACCTAGATGAGAAGCGGCTTGAAAACCTCGGGCCCCGCCCCCACGCCTGCCAGGGTCTGTCTCAGGCCCACCTTCGAGCTCCGTCTAAGTTCACCTTTAGAGGAGCAGGAACCAGCGCAGCCTCACGCAGCCTCAGGCCTCCAGCCGGCAGGAGCAGGGGACACTTTTCCACTGTTGGAGGCACCGGGGTGCGGGGAGGTGTTACAGTCGCCTAGGAGATGAAGCACTGACTGTGGTGGTCATCCTTCTACGCAGCAGGACAGAATGTCCAGGAAAGACTGAATGCCCTCCAGATCTCTTTCCCTCCCGCGTGAGGAGACTCCGCGCGGCTCACCGTGGGTGTCAGGCAGGCAGGTGTAGGACGGGGTGAGGCAGCGACGTTGAAGGCGGGAGGGGAAGCCCAGCCGTGGGGAGCCTGCCCTGCCGTCTTTCGTGCACTCCCCCTCAAGCATCCAGAGATGGAAAGCACGGGGCCCACACACCCCAGGGAAGTCACAAGCCCCGCACCACCCACAGGAGGGCCTCTCCTGGATGGCAGTGTGGAGCCCAACGAGCCTCCCATCGCGAGATCCCCTCTGGGCCGGCATCCACAGGGGTTGTAAAACACCACTGAGAATCCCTGGGCACACCCTGTGGTCCTGAGTGGGGGCGGGGCCCACACATCTGGATTTGTGGAAGCTTGTGGGACAATTCCTTGAGTCGTGGATGTTGAGACCCAGCTTGGAAGCAGTCACACCTGGTGGTTCCTGTTGAGAGGCTGGGAGGTGACTATGGACACTGGGTATCTGTCAGGGCTCTGCCCGTTATGGTGTGGCTGGACTCGGAGACAGTGCCCTGCTGGGGAAGGGTCTGTCGTGGTTTATAGCTATGTGCCTCCCACCCAAAGCCTCATGAGCCCAAAGAAAGTGACTTTTGGAAAATAAGGGAACCCGTTATGGGGACTTATAGCTGACTTGCTGTCAGGGTGTGGGGTCTACTCAGAAGACCTGGGTCACTGGAGGCGTGGCCTCAAAGGGTTCATCTCCTTCCTCCTCTCCTCCCTCTTCCTGCTTCCTGTCCACCATACTGTGAGCAGCTCTCCCCCACCAAGCCCCTCTGCCAGGCTGCCCTGCCATGGAGCCAGCTGGCTATGGACTGAAACGTGAGCCAAATAAACTTCTCCTCCTTGTAGATGGTACTGAGTCCTAGGGATGAGAATGTTGACTAAGGCAGACTCTCACCAGAGCTGTGTGTGTGCGTGAGTGTGCGGGAGCACATTAGTTTGACTTGAGTTTGCTGACGAGTGTGCGTGTGGATGCAGTTTTCTATAGAGTGAGTCATCGAGTCGGGTGCACAGGGTGTTGCTATTGCAGCTTTGAAAGTCCTAGTGGGATTTTAGAGGAAAGGAAGTGTGAATGGAGGCTGGCTAGAAAGCAGACGCCAGTGGTCTCATCATGACACAAGCTTCCTGTTGTTGCCATCCTGACACTAAACATAAAGGGAAAACCTATAAGAAAAAAAGACAATTTTGAAAGCAAATCTAATCCAGATGTAAATTTAAGCTAAATTTAAATTAAACCCAAATTTAAGAGGGACAAATACAACTTGGTCCTGGGCTGTAGACACGGGCGAGCAAGTGAGATGCCCCACAGAGGAAGTTTCATCAGCATGGTGGAGGTGCGCCCAGGCAGTGTGTGTGAGGACCCTCCCTGCCCTCCTCCCTGACCTGTCCCGGTGTCCCCTTTGCAGTGTCACCCTCAGCCCTGCTCCAGACTCGCACCCCCTCTTCCTCGGGGTGTCTGCGTGACCCACAGTTGGCCTCTGATGGTCAGCTCCTCACATGGGCACTGTACCCACTACCCAGACACCTAGCAGGAGGCTGAGTGAGCCCCGTCCAGTCCTGCCAGAGAGAGGCTTCTGCCCGAACCTCAGAGGCCAGGACAGGGAACAGCTGTCTGCCCCGCCTGGTGTGTGTAGGGCAGCAGCCGACAGGTGCTCCCCAAGTCACTTCTGGATACACGCACTTGGGTGCTGTGGCCGGTGAGGCCATCTGCCCACCTCATTTCCAGTGGGCTTGGGAGCACTTTCCTGCCTCTGTTTCTCAGCCTCTCCCGGTGTGGAAGCCTCACTTCCCTGTACTGAACCCACTAGTGCGACTTTATCAGCTTCAGGGCTTCCAGGCTCAGTGCATTTTAGTGCCGTGATGGGCAGATGACCTGTGCTCTGCACTGCAATCTCTGAACAAATGGCAGTCATCAGTTCCTTCCAGGTTCAATAAAGCACTGGGAAAATTGTTTGGTGGGATTTATTATTTGAAGGTAACTTTTTGCCCGGTCACTCAGCGTGTTTTGTTAATGGTCTATTGTGGTTCCTTGAACCAATTATTCTTTCAATTTATGCTTTCCTAGAAAAGACTTCCTTTCATCAACATTCTCAGTCATTTTAGAATATTTTGCTTGCTTACACATGGTATTAGTCACTCATTAATTGTGATTAATTAAGAATGGTTGTCTACTTTGTGAGCCTCCCCTGGAGGCCGCTTTCTCCATTAACCTGTAACTCAGTGGGGAAGCCAAACATTAAACAACTACTCTCAATATTTTTCTGGTTACATAGTAGAAAGAAATAGAAGAATAGCAGGGCTGGTATGAATTCTTACTGTGCACTGTAATTATTTTTTTATTTTTGAATTTTAGCATTTTTGTGAATTGAACTATTTGGACTACGTTGGAATAACATTTCCAACAAATTATAATACTTTTTTAGTGAAGATATAGGAAAGACCTACTTATTACTTATGTTTGTCAGGTTTTTATCAGCTCCTATTAACATTTTGAGCATGTCCATCCCCCATTACCTTTCGTTATATCTCCTGTCTCTCTTTTGGTCCCTTGCTAATAATCTTCTTTCTACTTTCATCTTTTTGTTTTGTTTTGTTTAAGATTCTACATACTGGGGAAACATGCAAAACTTGCCTTTCTGAGTTTCCCGAGTCTGGATTATTGGTGTATCATGATGGTAACTTCCATCCATTCTCCTGCACTTGACAGGATTTCACTCTTATTTTGCTCCTTCTTTTGGTCATTCTTCTCTGTATTTCCTTCACTGTGAAATCAATTTTTCTCAAACGTTTCTTAACTAGGGATTGTATCTTACAACTTCAGTGCGTGTTTAGCATGGCGGTATCTCCTCCCACACCTCCTCTCAGCCTCCTCTCGTCTCGTCTGCCCTACCCAACTAAAACCCCTGACACTGGATGTTGGGGTCCACTGGACAGATCCTCGGTTTTCCTGGCCTCTTCTGAGTCTGCATGCTGTTTCACCTGAGCCGGCGACCGATTATCCAAGAGCTCATTTGCACACACTTTTTCCCATAGTCGTCGTCTGCTGGTATCTGCTAATCTTGCTCCACTTTCATTTCCTGCTATTTTTAAACTTTCCTTTCAGGTCATTTTCTGACTTCAGAGTGCTGGTCTCCTCTCTAACTTGCTGCACTGTGGTTGTACAGTTTTTCTGCATGCTTAGTTTCAATGACCACTAAGTATTTGTTAAACCACTAATTTATTTGTTAAGTATTTGTAAGAATTCATAGTATTTGAAATCATTCAAGTATTTGAAATCATTCTCTCTTTATTTTCACTTGCATTTTCCTTTCCTACTTCTTCCTGCCTCCGTGCTCTGACTACAGTAAGTTAAACCCATCATGACCTTGCTCAAGGAATGAAGGAAGGAGATGCTCCCCAGGATGAGGTGCAAAGCAGAACTGAGGGGGAAATATCACTGGGGCTGGCGCTGCGGACAAAGGCTGCACGCTGGACAATTTATTTCTGTTCCTACTTTACCCAAAAGTTAACATGGAATGAAACCTGTAAACCACAGGACTTTTTTGTGTCACTGCTGAGATCTCCATCTCCTTTGGCAGAGAAGAAGTCTGGTGACGAGTTGGTTCAGGGTTTATTGGTGACCCATCTTGCTTGCCGGATGAGCCTCACAGGATTTTCTTTGACCTTTTGTTTTTCAGGATCTGTCTGGCTGTGCAATTGGTCATCAATTCCGCCTGGAACATCTTGAACTCTTTGAACTCTATGCTCAGTTCTTTTTCTCCCAGCTTTGGAAATATCTATGTATTTATGTGTTTATTGTTGGAGAGATAGAATAGTGAATGAGTAGTGCAGTCTTTCACTTTAAAGTAGACAAACTGAGCTGAGATTTTATTTATTTATTTATTTATTTATTTATTTATTTATTTATTTATTTATGTCTTTTCTGATACAGGGTTTGACTATGCAGTTCAGGCTGGTCTTAAATTCACTTTGTAGGCCTTGAGCTCACTTTGTAGCCCAAGCTGGCTTCAAACTCACAGTGATGCTCCTGCCTCCGCCTCCTGAGTGCTGGAATTATAGGCATGCACTACCATGCCCAGGTTGATCTGAGATTTTAGATAGCTGCTACATCTTAGCTACTTTCTCATCAGGAGGACTCTATATCAGACACCCACAGCTCTAAGGGAGAAAGTTTATTTGGGCTCAGTTTGTAGAGCTTTCCGTCCATAGTCAGCTGGCTCTAAGGCAGGGTGGCATGGCAGAGGAGAAACAGTCCATGGCACAGAAGCAGGAAGCAGAGAGATGAGGGAGGAGAGAGGAAGATGACCCCCCAGGTGAGGTCCCCAGGGATCTACCTCCTCCAACCGGGCTTTGCCTTCCAACAGTGTGTCTGGCTGTAAACTCAGCAGTGGATGAATCCACTCATGAGTGTCACACCACCATGATGCAGTCACCTCCCCAAGCCCCACTATGAGTGCATGAGGCTTCGGGGGGTCTCTAGATATAAGCCATAACGTGATGAAACTCTAAATGGACAAAGAAAATTATTGAAAAATATCATATATGCACTTGTATGTATAATTAAATTGGGTGAATAAAATTATATGTTACATTTCATAACATTTTTAAGAATTAGAAAGGGAAAATAAGGCAAAATAATGAAGTTAAATTCTACCAAAATTCTGTCTTCCTGAGACAATCTGTCTATACTGTTGCATTTATAAACGTGAATATTGGAGAAATGGGTTAAATCCGTTTTAAAAGTTAAAAGTAAATACTGGTGGTGAAAATAAACAATGCACAGGAAGAGCACTGTGAAAACATTTGAATGGCTTAGAAAGAAGAATGTAGAGTGTAGCAACAGAACAATGAACATTTGAGGTCCTAAGTGTGAACAGAAGATGGATTACCATTGTGTAACAGTACATGCAGCATGTAGGTGTGCTTATTACAAAATAAGTTCTTAAGTTCTGCTTGAAAAGTGAAATGTAATTGTATAGTCAAACATACCTACAGCAAAGGCATTGAAATATTAAATCAAGTAAATTTTTCAGTTAATAGTAAGGTAAAATATTTGGCAGGAAAAGATAATGAAATGGAAGTCAGGGTATGACCCTGCACACATTTCTTAATTTCCAAGTCTTCATTTTCCTACCAGTGTGGGGGGCAGGGTAAAAATAGAATCTACCTCCATGGCTTGTTACAGGGATGGATTATGTTAAAATTTATAAAAGGCTTAGAACTGCACTTATAAGGTTTAC